CTCTATTTTCTGGTGACCATTGGCTGTGTTCAATTGTGTCTATAAAGATTGAATCTTTGTATGTCATATTTTCTTCTTTTAATTCTATTATTCTTTTATCGATATTTTTTATATTTTCCTTAACATTTCAGATGATACTGTCTCTTGGAGCTTCTGTGTCTTTCTTTATCTTCTTTCTCCTTGTTTCTTCTACTTTATTCGATTTGTTTGTAGAGGTTTAGTTTGTGCTTGGTGAGAAATTTCTTTGTTGTGTATCTTGTTGTGTGTTAATGTTAAGCTCCTCCATTTGGCCAATGATTTTATTTATTATTTGGATTGGTTTCTCTTGCAATATTTCTTCTCTTGCTACTTCTTAATGTTTTTTCTTTATTATTGAAGCTTGTATCTTTTTTATGCTGTTCAGTTTCTCTATTTCTTCTATTTTCTTTTCTTCTTTAAGTATTTCTTCTTTGTTCATATTTGTAATATATTCGACTAATTTTGGGTTTTAATTCATCAGTCTAAGTCTTTGTGCCCATTCATCTATTATATCTTCTTTAAGCCAGCTCATTTCTGCTAGGCTCAAGGCCTTAAGAATTTGTCTGTAAAGTAGTACATCGCTTAGTGTAATATGGTTTGGGTTATTTATTGCTAGGTCTTTTGCTATATGCTCTACATTGCTTGGTTCTTTTGCAGACATTGTTAAAATTTGCTTCAACAATTCAGAACTTAAATATCTTCGACTTTTATTACCTACCCCCTTAATGTAGCACATAAAGTTTGTATCAATAACCCGATCCATTTGATTTGTTTGTTGTATTTCTATTTTGTACGCTTTCCTTCTTGATTTGTATATATGCAGCTTGTGTTATGCTACTACTATCTATCTATCTATTTCCTAATTGAGAACATGACTTTGTTGTTTGTTGTTTGTTGTTGTTGTTTAGTTAGTCATGTGTTCTCTTTCTGTTTTTTAGGATCAACTGTGATTTCCCAAACTTTCGAATTTTACACTAAAAAAGAAAGAAAATTTTTCTAAAGACAAGTTTAGTCTGTTAGAGATACCTCTTCTGTTGTTATATTTCTACTATTGTTTATGTATTTTTAAATATAAACTCTTTTTTCTTAAGAGCCCAAGGACTGTTTTCTATTTTGTTTTAGTTGTATTTTGTGTTTTTTGTTTCTGCTCTACTTGGAATCAGAGGTTAGTGGAGAGAGTTTTTGAGATGTGATTATAAGAATATTATTTAGTAATAAATGCTTAATTATTGATTTAAATTCAATATTACAGCATTAAGCTATCTATTAAAGTTTCTACCTTTAACATTTTAGAATATCTAATCTACAAATGAAATTATCTGAAAAATACTAATAGTAAATAATATAAACATATAGTTAAATAATCTCTGTGCTTACTAAATTAATGAAAAGTAGATTATACTTGAATTTTATAGTACTATATCGTTATAAATCAAATGTTCTAAAAATAAATACTTAAAATTTTGAATTATAATTTTAAATAGACTAACAAAACAGTCATAACACTAATCAAGTTGATTTTAAACTTGCAGAATTAACATGAATAATCTTGTTTAATGAACCTGAATTGTCAATTTGAAATAAACTAGCAAACTTAATAGTCTTTATACTTATCATAAATAAAATAAAATATTATTGATAGTAAGTGCTTATAAATATTCAGTTTCACGCAAACTAATAATCACTTATCAGATTACACAAACTAAGTATTGTTCAATAGTAAACTAAAACATAATTTTGATTTATTAATATATATTACTGTAAAGATTACAATTTATTAAAGATCTATATTATTAAATTTTGACATTAATAGAAGTAATTTTTTCAAAGAAAACAGAAACATCATATGTCAAAAAATATAAATTTCTATTCTCCCATTCTATTATTTCAACAATTGCTGATTTGTTTATATCTTCTTTCTCTCCATCCTTTAAGGTTTTTTGAAAAAAGTGTATAACATGTTGGTGATTTTTCTTTTCAACCATAAAACAGAAAAAACCATGTATACCAAAATTTGAATGAATATCAAGAAACTCTGGAATATGATAAACCAAAGTATAAATATTGGAGGTAATATCATTTGATTAATAAAGTCCTTGAACAAAGCTTTGTGAATGATTCAGATTACCTAAGTTAAAATAAAAAATATAAGTTTTATTATTAATAAAAACTTATAAAGAATTAGAATTACCCAAAGATGAAATTAGAAACAAATTTATCCAATCTAATGCTTTTTTTTTGAATTCAATACTATCTATACATTGTTTATGCATGTCTTCATAAAGTTTATTAAAACAATTCCATAATTGTTGAATTAACTGAGCATGATGTTTATCTAAAAATATCAAATCTAAATTAAAATTTTGTAATACTTTTAGCTTGTCTACTTCTGTTAAAGATGTTGATGTCTATATTTTTGTATTTGGATCTTCATACCAATTAAAGTAAATATGAATTCGCAACATTTTTTGGCTAATTATAGTATGAACTTTAGAATTATTTTTGATACCAATCTCTAAAACTAAAAGTAACCATAACCAATCTGTTATTCGTAACATTACATAAAGTTCATCAATAACCCAATAAGTTAGAGAAATTATAAAAAATAAAGGTTTACTTTTATGGCCACATATTTTGGAATAATTAAGATTAATATTCTCTATATGTTTAGATATAGTCCAGTCATATGTCATAATTCCATTTTGTTTTTTTTTAATTAAGCACCAAAGGCAAAAATCTTCTGCATTAGCTGCCTTATGTCTCAAACAAATTGCCAAAAATTTCTAGCCAGCTGAAAAATATAAACATATATTCCAATAACATCCTTCATTATTCAAATAACCAGATTGAATCTTACTTAACTCCTAAATTAATGGTGCTAATACAATTGCAAAGTCTTATAGTTTTTAATACCTGGATATATTAGAAGAGTATAATGCTTTTCAGGATAATAAATAGTATTTAAATCATTAAGTAGTATGAATGTAACTATTATGTATTTTTTTTTTTTTTAACATTATGGCCATCTTCTGAAATTTGAATATGTAAAGTTGGATTTGATAATTGAAGAATTCCATTTTGAATTAAAGAAGAAATAATATATGATAAAATATCTTTTAATGACCTATATGCTGCCTTTCCTGTTAATTTTGTAACTTTTTCAACAATTTCAGTAATATTAATATCTATTGCTATATTTTCATTTGTTTCTAAATTAATTTTTTGTAAAATACTTGAATTAATATTAATATTTTGAATTGGAACTGTTTGTTGCATCTGATTATTAATCCATCATTTTGTTTTGGAAACTACCCATTCTCTAGGTAAATCTTGTTAGATTTCTGTAATAGCTCAATATATATTTCAAGAAATATGTTCTTTATTCATTGTATGTACAATAGCCAGTTTTTTTGGATTTTTATTATTTGGCTAATTATATGTAACTTGAAATTGTTGATTATTTGCTGAAAATGTTACTTTATTTAAAACTACTTTATTATTTGAACAAAATGCTAATTGTATTTTATTGTGAAATATTGTTGAAAAAGAAATTGCTACATTTTTATATCATTTGTATTTTATTGACTTGCTTAGATCTTAAAAAGGTTTAATTTTTTTTTGTATATTGTCTTTTTTTTGAGAAAGTCATTTAGTTGCTTGACTATAATCATTATTTGTAATATAATCTAAGTTATTGTCTGTAAACTTTATACATCTATAACATATTTTGGAAGTTGAGTCAAGTTCTAATACTTTACAAAATCGAACAAATAAATTAATAAGTGCATCCTTTGTTTTTGTTTGCTTTTTTTTTTTTATTTGTTGCTTATATATATTATGTTTTGGATGAGCACAATATTCATTTAATTTTGTTTGATGTATTTGATAATAAGTTTTATTAACAATTTCTCGATTATAATGTGTTTGACAGAGACATTGTCCTTCTAATTTTTGACATTGCTCTTCAGAAATTGGTGTTAAAGAGCTAATTGCTCTTAAAATTCCTTTACATAATAGTTCTTCTTCTGAAAATGTATTAAAATAGCACTGGCATGCTGTTGATGTTAGAGTTGTTAGTTGATCCTTCATATTTTTTTATTTCAAAAACAATTTGAGACATATATACTAGTGATGCCGACATAACATTTTAATGTTACTATGTTTTGGGTTTTGTCACATGATAAAACTGATATTAATATAA